ATTTGAGAGAGAAAAAGAGAAAGCAAGAGAGTACGCATAAGTGGGAAGGCAGAGAGAGAGAGAGAATCTGAAGCAGACTCTGCCCTGAGCAGGGATCCTGAAGCGGGGCTCAATCCCATGACCTTGAGATCATGACCTGAGCCCAAATCAAGAGCTGGAAGCTAAACCAACTGAGCTACCCAGGCACCCCTATATGATTCATTTTATAAGTCCAGTAGTACTTTCCAGAGGGTGGAAAAAGGCATTAGACACAATTCATTGATGACGATTTATTATAATCTGTTGGCAGCACAGATAGATATTAATAAAACCAGAACTATGTTTCCACAGAAGTGGGCGATGATATATAGCTATTCTATGGGAACTGCACACATTTAATCATCGTCATCTTTTAGATGTTTGATCTTCTTCTTGTGCCGCTCAATTTCTTTCTGCAGACGCTCAATTTCCTTTACATGATGGGTGATCTCCTCTTCATGGTGTTTCTTCAAGGCTGCCAGTTGTTCTTTAGTGCGTGCTCTACAAGGATACAGTGGCTCTGCATTAAATCCCAATCGTTAACCCACAGAGACCTCTAAGCATAACGTATGATACCTAAGGCAAAGAACAGGAATCCCAATCCCACTAGAATCTGGTTGGTCATCCTCTTCTACCTGCTCCAGCCCCACTAGAGAAAGAATACTCCATCTTGAGATATATCCACCTTAAGAATGACCAAAATGATTCCATTTTCCTGGTGCCAGTGCCTGAAATTTCATTATTTATGAGTTATTCCTTTCAAATTTCTCTTTAGAAAACTCCAAAAAGGTGTAACATTAAGTCTCATATACCTTAGGATAGGAAGCACCCAGAGATCAGAATCCCTTTTTTTGGGGGTGGGGGTAGGGTGGGCAGAGCAAAAGGAGGGAAGGATGGACAAAAAAACATATCCTATCTCAATTTATCTAGGGCTTTCTTTGCCTAGGGAAATGCATGGCTCACTGTAAAGGTCAAAATGAAGGGGGAAAAGTACTTGGAAGTCCAATTTAGGTCTCAAGAAGGGACATTCAAATGTTGGTTTGGGCACATACCGGCCTCAGTTTTCCTTAAGTGTAAAATGTTGATGCCAAATTAGATGGTATCTAAGGGCTGTGCCTTGGTTCTCTGGTATGGCAGGCGCCATGCTGATCGTTCTTAAGAGTGAGCAATAAAGGGCAGAAGTTAAAAGCTAGACCAAAGCAGAAGAGGCAAAAGTGAGATTAGGTCCACACTGCTCCCCACTGTGGACAGAAGTCAGTAAATGATAATTTAGGGCTAGGAAAGAGTCCCTTGGGCAAACTGCTCTGTACTCTTATGCAGGAGAAATTTATCCGTTACAGCGGCTGGGCTGGGCTGGGTTGGGCAGGGCAGGGCAGGGCTGGGCAGGGCTAAAGTCTCCAAGAAGTAGGAGCGGAGGGTTCCAACTAGGAGCTGCTGCCTTGGTTGGAAGCACTCTGGCGGAATTGAAGACTTGGGGTCTAGAAATGGCTGAGGATCTGGAGAGCCAGGGACTCCATGGGGAGGAGAAAATAGAGAGTAGAAGGGTTATGGGTGGTTGAAGGCTGAGGGAATCAAGCTCAGGGTGTTTTCAAGTATTGGGCAGTGGGACCTATACATTTTGGAAAAATCTGGAAGCCATTTTACAAGACCGGGGAGAACTCCGTGGGTGGGCATGGTAAGTGATTCAGGAAGAGTTTTGGAGACCCGCGGGTGGAAATGGCTTGGGTTTGGGCCCCCCGAACTGTTCGGGAGCGCCCTATAGGTGGTGACAATCAGGACCTCAAGTGTTGGGGGTAATGGGTTCAGGGCCTGCTAGTTCTATTGGGGGACGGGCGCCCAAAGGACCAGGGAGGGACAGGTAGGGCTACTGGACTTTTTTTTTTTTTCCTTTTTAAAGATTTATTTACCTATTCGAGAGATTAAGAGAGAGAGTGCGAGCGAGAGAGCGGTGGGGGAGGGGCAGAGGGAGAGAGAGAATCCCAAGCAAACTCCCCTCCCAGCACGGCACCCGACCCCTGGCTCGATCCCACAACCCGAGATCACGACTGCAGCGGAAACCAAGAGTGGGCTGCTCAACCGACTAAGCCACCCAGGTGCCCGGACGATTATAAGTTTAAGAAGGATCGGAAGGCCCCAAGAGATCTGGACTGGACTCGGGGCTCCGTGGACCTCACCGGAAGTATCGTTCCTCTTCAGCTTGCTCTCTCTTTCCAAAGGCCCCACCTGCCTCCCGGATTGAGCCAGCGCTGGAGTCTGACTGCGGAGAGAGATGGGAACGTCGGTAAAGGCGCGAAGGGGAGATGGAACCCGCGCTCAGGGCTGGGGCTGCGGACACTACCGCCGGCGTACCCGATCGGAGCTGAAGCCTCGGGCTTGCACGGCCCTAAAGCCCCCCACGCCCAGCCAAATCCGGGCCGCCGAAGTCGCGACAGCCATTGTTGTTGGTGCAGGACTTCTCCAGTCACCCGCGGTCGAGCCTCTCCGCAGGCGCTAATGACTCTGGGAGCCAGGCAGCCAATGGTTTCGATGGAGAGGCGGGATGAGCCCAGGAGTAGCGAATTAGGAAGTGGAGGAGGCGGGGTTCCTGCAGCTCGCAGCGAGTCCTGAGCGAGAGGCGGGCCTATTCTTAGCCAATCACTAGCAAGGTCTTTGGGGCCAACGGCCTGGAGAATAACAATGGAGTTAGGGACAGTGTGAGAAATCCAAATCCGGGCTTTTGGATCCATCAGAGTGAGGACCCATCAGAGCGAGGGATACACCCCATCCCACGATTCCAATCCTGAAGTTGTTATTAAACACCCAAAGGAAGCCTTGCCTTTCCTGGACTACTAGCATCGATAAGATATCTAATGTAGGGGTTGGGGGAGGGGGTATGTCCAGGATGCTCCAATTTAGCGTTCTGGGGAAAAATTTTTCTAAGTGTATGTGTATGTAGTCTCTTAAGAGATGTCAGTGTTCTGTTGTTGCACTGACATTTCACTCAAGTCGCAGTTTAAAAGTCACTTCAGAAACAACCCCCGACCTCCTTAGTCATTCTATTACAGCTACATTTTGTTCTTTCTTCCTCTCTCTTTGTGCTTTTCACCATTTGAAGAAGAGCTTTGGTCAAGTAGACACTGAATTAATATTTGTAAAATGTATTAATATGTAATTGAACAGGCTTGATCACTGGACGTTTGGCAATGTGATGTAATGAAGTGGAAAAGAGCTTAAGTAGGAGTGTGGGGGAAGTTTTTGCCATGACCTTCCTTTCACCATCTAACAAATGTGAACAAGACCATAGTGGATTATAGCCTTTTCCTAAGTCTTTTTTTTTTTTTTTTTTCTCTCTGGGCCCAGTTTTTCTTCCTTTAGATGAGAGCGTTAGGCCAGATTATCTTATTTGTGATTATAAAAATACCTTCTTTGCTTTCTATGAAATTGTAGAACCGTTTTTATTGATCATCTTTTGGTTGGAAAAATACCAGCCCTAGTTTGTATGACTTAAATGATAGGAAATGCCTGCAAGGCACATTTTCAAATGTTCGTGGCAGAAAACTTGGAAAAATACAAAAGCAGAAGGATAGAAATAATAATCACTTTTACGCTCACTACCCAGTAGTAATAATTTACTGTGTTTCTAGGTGATATTTAAGTGCCATTCTAGTTTCAGAAACTGATCTATTTTTCAGGAATTGCTGTTTCTTGATTATCTCCTAGGCTAGGCACTCAAGGTAAGGTCTTACTGAGTTTGTGCAAAGGATTGTGTATGGGGCGCCTGGGTGGCTCAGTGGGTTAAAGCCTCTGCCTTCAGGCTCAGGTCATCCTGGGATCGAGCCCCACATCCGGCTCTCTGCTCAGCGGGAAGCCTGCTTCTTCCTATCTTTCTGCCTGCCTCTGCCTCTCTGCCTACTTGTGATCTTTGTCTGTCAAATAAATAAATAAAATCTAAAAAAAAAAAAAAAAAAAAAAGGATTGTGTAGGCTCTAGGATTGGCTGTAATTAAAAAAAAAAAAAAAAAGGAAAATAACCAGTGTTGGTGAGGATGAGGAAAAACTGTAACCCCCCATACATTGCTGGTGGGAATGTAAAATGGTACAGCTACTGTGGAAAATAGTTTGGCAGTGGCTTAAAAAGTTAAATACAGAATTAACATAAGACTCAGCAATTTCGGGGCGCCTGGGTGGCTCAGTGGATTAAGCCTCTGCCTTTGGCTCAGGTCATGATCTCAGGGTACTGCGATCAAGCCCCACATCGGGCTCTCTGCTCAGCAGGGAGCCTGCTTCCCTCTCTCTCTGCCTGCCTCTCTCTGCCTACTTGTGATCTCTCTCTGTCAAATAAATAAATAAAATCTTAAGAAAAAAAAGACAGCAATTTCACTTCTAGGTATGCACACCCTGCCCTAAACTGAAAACTGTCACTCAAATACATGTACACACGTTCATAGCAGCATCGTTCACAATAGCTAGAAGGTGGAAACAACCCAAATGTTTATCAATTGATGAATGAAAACAAATTGTGGTATATTTATGTAGCAGAATAACATTCAGACATAAAAAGTAATGAAAAAAATGACACATACTATATTTTGGATGAACTTTTAAAACACTATGCTCAGTGAAAGAAGGCAGACACAAAAGATCACATATTGTATGATTGCATTTATGATGTCCAGAATAGGTAAAGCCATAGAGGCAGAACACAGATTGCTGTAAGGGGTTGAGTATAAGGGGGAATGGGGAAGAACTACTTAATAGGTGTCAGGTAAACTTTTGGGGTGATGAAACTGTTTGGAACTACATAGACTCTGGTGGATGCACAACACTGTGAGTGTAATAAGAGATACTGAATTATTCATTTTAATTATATGTTGTGTATATCTCACCTCAATTAAAAAAAGAGTAGAGATGTCTGCTGGGCTGCGAACCCTTTAAGAGTCACAAGGAAGGGGCGGGGCTAGAGAGGCGGGTCTGTAAGTATCACAGGAGGCTGCGCTTGCGCAGGGGAGTCACGTGGTTGCTGGGCCGGGGAAATGGCGGCTCCAGGAGAGAGCGGGGCTTCGGCTGGCGGAGGGAGCACGGAGGAAGCATTTATGACCTTCTACAGTGAGGTGAACACCGAGTGAGGAGTAGTGGCGCCGGGGTGACTCCGTCCGGTCCTACTTTCCCAGCGGGAAAAGGCGGTGGTCTTTCTGGCCTGGACCGTTGGGCGGCTCCTCCTGTCTGGCCTTCGGGGAGGCGGGGGGCTGGGGGTGTGTGTTAGTCTCTGCCTGATAGCTGCTTTTGGAATCCCTTGGGCATCGAAAAAGGGGCCAGGGTCCGACGTCTGCGGGTAGACGACGAGTGTGGCCAACGAAGTGCCAGGGCGCGTGCAGAGGTCCCCAAGTCCGCGGAGTCGGAGCCTGGCAGGGGCTGGCAGAAGCTGGCGTTCTTGGGGGCGACTTAACTGTCTTGGGCCTCATTTTTGTTCTAAACGGAAGCACTCTTCCCTTTTAGTGCTCTGTAATGAGTTGTATTAGTGGTTATTTCTGCCATTCGCGAACGCCAGGCATTATGCATCATGCCAGGTAGGCATTATCTCTGTTTTATAGATGCTGAGGTTTGGGGAGGTGAAATAATTTGTTCTGGGTCCTAAAGCAAATAACAGCTTGGTATCATGTTAGGACTGGAGTCAGTTTGGTCTGAGCCTCGATTACTGTTGCATTTCCAGGACCTAGGACATAGTGATTGCTTGGTAAATATTTGTTGAATAAGTGAGAGAAAAGCATACCATTTGGAGTCAGAGGACCTTGGATTGGATTTTTGAAAGGCAGTTAATTGGACTGTGTTGAATTTTTTTCAAGGCATTTTTCAGATTCTCCATTTCCACTTCTGTAAAGCGAAGAGAATATTAAAACGAGTTTTATGAAGGTTAAACGAGTTAGTGTTTCAGAAGGGGTCTAAGAGTTAAAGCTGAAGATGGACCTCTGTGAATTGGCATGGGTTTGAGGAATGGAATTGCGCCCCTCTAGGCTGTGAGCTACTCAGTTCAGCTCTATGTCACATTTATCTTTTATCTTTTATTTTTAACAGTGTTTGTTATATAGTAGTTTCTCCAAAGTATTAAATTTAAAAATGGAGTTAGCACAACTTTTATAGTTTGTCGTTTTGAGATGCCCAGTTAACTTGAAAATATTGATAAACTGGTACCAAAATTTATTGACCTCTAATGACTGCTCTGCGGTTGCACAGGAAATTGTTTCACTTACCATCTCTTAGTTGAAGAGAGAAAGAGAAGAAAAAAGAAAAGCAATCCTGGTTTGTTTGAATTGAATGAGAGAAAGTACCTAAAGGAGGACCCTTCAGTCATCATTCAATCAGTGTTATTGGGTACCTGACATGTACTAGTGTACTGCTTAGGTGCTAGAGGTATGTTGGTGGACAACAGAGAAAAATCCTGTTTTCTTAGAGCTTGCATTGTATAGAGAAGGATAAGCATAAGCAAACATGTACAATGTAGTGTCAGGTAGTGATAAGTGCTATGAGGAAAAATAAGTCTGAGAAAGGAGATAGAGTATGGGGAGTAGGGAGTGGCATGCTATCTTAAAGAAAGTGAAGAGGGAAGATACTGAGAAGGAATGGCTTTTTATGTTACTGAAATTATTTCCAAACTCCTTTTGGCCATAAGAATAAAGGTGGAATATAACATACCAGTGATACATTTTAACTAGTATTACAGCTTTGACAATGGCGCCAAGGATGTTTTCCTGGCACTGCTTGGTGCTTGTTCTCCTTAGCATTGTCTTTGGGTCAGGGGGTTTTCTTTTTCTTTTCCTTTTCCCTTTTCCTTTCTTTAAGATTTTATTTATTTATTTTTTGGGTGGGGAGGGGCAGAGAGAGGGAAAGAGAAAGAATCCCAAGCAAACTCTGCATTGAGTGCAGAATGGGACACAGGGCTTGATCCCAGGACCCTGAGATCATGATCTGAGTGGAAATCAAGAGTTGGGTCCCCAACCGATTGAGCACCTGGGCCAGGGATTTTCCTAACTCTATTTGAGTTTGGTAAGCAGAGTTACTTACCTCTCTCAAATATTTTTTTGTTCTTTTTTAAGATTTTATTTATTTATTTGACAGATCACAAGCAGGCAGAGGGGCAGGCAGAGAGGCCAGAGGAAGCAGGCTCCCTGCTGAGCAGAGAGCCTGATGTGGGGCTCGATCCCAAGACCCTGGGATCATGACCTGAGCCGAAGGCAGAGGCTTTAATCCACTGAGCCACCCAGGCGCCCCTCCCATATACTTTTTTAATGCTGTTTTCAGTATATATTTCAGTGTGATTGTATTTTTCTTAAATAAAAAGTTGTAAATTAAATATGAACAGCACAGGTGCATCTTCCATCATTACAGTGGAAGCTTTTTGAAAGTGGCGGCTGTGATATATTTATGTTTGAATATTCTTGGTTCCTCAAACTGTTGCAGTTAAAATTCTTGTTTGCAAGTTGAGTAGTTGGGAACAAGTCAGTTAACCTCTCTAAGTCTCAGTTTTCTTATCTGTAAAATGGGGATAATAGGAATATTTACTGTATAGGATGGTTGGGAGGAATAACTATGTGTAAAGTTTTTACATTTTTAGAATTCAGTAAATGATAGCTATTGTAATTATTCCCAAAACATTTGGCAATCTGTCTTCCACATGTAGACAAATGTTTGCTGAACATGTCAGTAGCTTCTTAAGATGACAATTCAGAGTTTATTATTGAACTTTACTAATAAAGTTTTTATCTCCCTTCATTTTAGGTGAAACAGATAGAGAAGAGAGATTCAGTTCTAACATCCAAAAATCAGATTGAAAGATTGACCCGTCCTGGTTCTTCTTACTTCAATTTGAACCCATTTGAGGTGAGCTCTCTGATGTTGCTGCGGCTTTGTGATGGGGGAGCTTTGCATAGCTGCAGACCGACTTACAGCAGAACACACAATTAATTTGTCTTATAGTTGGAACTGAGATTTGATGGTTTTATTGTGAGCAGAGGTTGAGAGGCATAATGTTAAGGAAAATGAGATGGTCTTTACCTTGTTACATATTCTCCATCTTCTACCAACCCAAATATATAGGTCTTCATTTTCAGATATGAAGGGATAGCTAGCCTTGACAAATTTAGGATCTTGATTTAGTTTGCTTATTACAGCTTTTCGGTTTTACTGCAGTAATAAGTATTAAAAACTCAATGACCGGGGCGCCTGGGTGGCTCAGTGGGTTGGGCCGCTGCCTTTGGCTCAGATCATGATCTCAGGGTCCTGGGATCGAGCCCCGCATCGGGCTCTCTGCTCAGCAGGGAGCCTGCTTCCTCCTCTCTCTCTGTCTGCCTCTCTGCCTGCTTGTGATCTCTCTCTGTCAGATAAATAAATAAAAAATCTTTAAAAAAAAAAAAAAACAAAAAACAAAAAACTCAATGACCAAAAAATGATCATAAGGTTGTAGACAAGCAAATATACTTCTTGGGTTTCCTTAGTTTTCTTATTTTATTTTTTTATTTAATTAATTAATTTATTTTTAAAAATACTTTATTTATTTATTTATTTGACAGACAGTGATCACAAGTAGGCAGAGAGGCAGGCATAGAGAGAGAGGAGGAAGCAGGCTCCCTGCTGAGCAGAGAGCTCGATGTGGGGCTCGATCCCAGGACCCTGGGATCATGACCGGAGCCAAAGGCAGAGGCTTTAACCCACTGAGCCACCCAGGCGCCCCATTTTATTTATTTTTAAAAGATTTTTATTTATTAGAGAGAGAGAAAGAGATAGCAAGAGAGAGCATGAGCTTAGAGGAGAGGGAGAAGCTTTCCCTAGGAGCAGGGAGCCAGATGTAGGGCTCAAGCCCAGGAATCTGGGGTCATGACCTGAGCCAAAGGCAGGCGCTTAACATCTTGAGCCACCAAGGTGGCCCTAGTTTTATTTTAAAACTTTTCCTAATTATGAAAGTGAACCATATTTCTTTCTTTTTTTTTTTTTTTTTAGATTTTATTTATTTATTTGTTTGTTTTTGACAAGAAGTAGGATATATTGGAGGGCATGAATAGGGAGGGGGCAGTGCCAAGGTTCTCATGAGTGCAGAGCCATCCGTTTGTCCAAGGGACCACAATTAGGGATGTATTTGACCCCACAGCCATCTGGGATAAGCTGCTTTTCAGCCATCATGTCTTCAAATTTATCCACATTAAACTTAGTAAAACCCCACTTCTTGGAGATGTGGATCTTCTGGCGGCCAGGGAACTTGAACTTGGCCCTGTGTGGAGCCTGAATCTCTGCTCCTTGTTCTGCAACTTGCTATGGATGGGCATGATGACTTGGCTAATGTGGACCCTGGTTTCTGTGCCCTGGGGCTTTCCAAAGGCACCCTGCATACCTCTCTACAGCCTAGCTTGGAGATAGCATGAGGTCAGACCTCCATATCCACTGGAAAGGACTGTCTCCAAGGTCCCTTAGGGCAACCCATACAATCAACAGGCTGCATAGCCAAGGAGGCTACTGTTTGCAGCCGTGGCATACTGGACCCCTATGGAGAAAGAGCACAGTCAGCTTAATGGCTGGAGAGATTTGTTTACTGAAAGATTTTATTTAATTTGTCAGAGAGAGAGAGAGGGCACAAGCAGGGGAAGTGGCAGAGGAGGAGGCAGAAGCAGGCCCTCCGCTGAGCAAGGAGCCTGATGTGGGACTTGATCCCAGGACCCAGAGACCATGACCTGAGCCAAAGACAGATGCTTAACCGACTGAGCCACCCTGGCATCCCAAGATTTTATTCATTTATTTGACAGAGAGAAAGAATACAAGCATGGGAGTGGCAGGTAGAGAGAGAAGAGGAATGATATGGGCCTCCATTCTGCTCAGGTCATGATCCCAGAGCTGAAGGCAAGTGCTTAACCAACTGAGCCACCCAGGTGCCCCAGTAAACCATATGTCTTATAAAGATTTGAAATATAAAGAAAGTGGGGGCGCCTGGGTGGCTCAGTGGGTTAAAGCCTCTGCCTTCGGCTCAGGTCATGGTCCCACGGTCCTGGGATCGAGCCCCGCTTCAGGCTCTCTGCTCAGCAGGGAGCCTGCTTCCCTTCCTCTCTCTCTGCCTGTGTCTCTGCCTACTTGTGATCTCTGTCTGTCAAATAAATAAATAAATAATCTTAAAAAAAAAAAAAGAAAGAAAATAACTTATCTGTTAGGGGCGCCTGGGTGGCACAGTGGGTTAAGCCACTGCCTTCGGCTAGGGTCATGATCTCAGAGTCCTGGGATCGAGCCCCGCATCGGGCTCTCTGCTCAGCAGGGAGCCTGCTTCCTCCTCTCTCTCTGCCTGCCTCTCTGCCTGCTTGTGATCTCTCTGTCAAATAAATAAATAAAATCTTTAAAAAAAAAAAAAAGAAATATAAAGAAAGCAAGAAGGGGCGCCTGGGTGGCTCAGTGGATTAAGCCTCTGCCTTCGGCTCAGGTCATGATCTCAGGGTGGAGATTGAGCCTGCTTCCCCCGCTCTCTCTGCCTGCCTTTCTGCCTACATGTGAACTCTGTCTGTCAAACAAATAAATACAATCTTAAAAAAAAACTTAAAGAAAGCAAGAATAATCATGTGTAATCCCACCTAAGAGAAATAGCCACTCTTAATTGTTTATACATCAGCTATTTTAAATGTTTTATTTTAGGGGCACCTGGGTGGCTCAGTTGATTGGGCAACTGACTCTTGATACCAGCTCAAGTCTTGATCTCAGGGTCATGAGTTCAAGTCCCATGATGCTGGGCATGGAGCCTACTTAAAGAAAAAAAAAAGTTTTATTTTAAAACAAGGAGGATGATGCACTTCATTCTTAACATTTTAAATGCTGTACTATATAAAATACATATTTGTGTACATTTCTTTTTTATGATTGATTATTTTTTTAATAAAAGTTTATCCTTAAGTGTACAACAGGATTTAAGACAAAACTTCATTGCAGCTATAGGTAGCAACAGATGCTATGACAAGGAATCTAGATGTTTAAACAGGAATGGAATTAAGGATCATCATTGCCTCCGGCACAAGGAACAGCTTACTTTTTGCCAGTTTTTTTAATTCCACGTGTAGCCGGGGGGGGGCCTTTACCTGTGGCCTTTGATTTTAGCTCCTCAGGTTTCTTTTGCTCCTCTTTCTGTTTCTGCTTGAATGCTGTATCTTCCTCATTCATCTTCTTGTCCTATTTCTTGGGCTGCTTCGGGAGCTTTCTCTCCCCACCTTCACAGCTGGACATGGTGCCTGCCACCCCTTCCCTAGACCTTGTTCCTGGAAGCGGTAGATACATTTCTGAAAGTCTTTATAATTATTGTTTAAGTAATTCCTTTATTGTAGGATATTTAAACTAGTTTCTAATAGCTTACCACTAAATTTTGGCATGAATATTGTTATAGCTTATAAAAACACTGAGTATTAAAAACCTTTTTTTTTTTTAAAGATTTTATTTATTTATTTTACAGAGATCACAAGTAGGCAGAGAGGCAGGCAGAGAGAGATAGGAGGAAGCAGGCTCCCCATTGAGCAGAGAGCCCGATGCGGAGCTCAATCCCAGGGCCCTGGGATCATGACCTGAGCCGAAGGCAGAGGCTTTAACCCACTGAACCACGCAGGCTCCCCAAGAGTTTTTATATTTTAAAACAATCTCAGATTTGTGGAAAGGTTAGGAGTGTACCGTGAAGACTTTCTTAGACTATCTGGTACTAAGTTGTCCATATTGCTGCCCTTTTGTCCTGCAGTACTTCGATGTATTTTTCCTATAGATGACACTCTCCTCCTGAAGCACAATATAACCGTAAAAATCAGGAAACAAACACTGATAACATTGTTACCATGTAGTTCTCAGACCCCACTCAGTTTGCCTGTTGTCTCAGTAATGTCCTGTGTAGCAAAAGGATCCAGCCCAGAATCAACTCTTAAATTTAGTTGTCATGTCCCTTTAGCCTTCAGCCTGGAACAGTTCCTCAGCAATTCCTCAACTTTGGTGACCTTACCGTTTCTGAAGATTATAGGCCAGTTATTTTAGAGCATATCTCTCAATTTGAGTTTTGTTTGATGTTTCTTCAGCTGGATTCAGTTTATGCTATGTTGGCAGGAGTATCACAGAAGTGATATTGTATTCTTCTCTTTGCAACTTATAAAGTACATGATATTTCCATTAGCCTTATCCCATGACTAATGATGTTAACCGTACCACTTCAAGAGGTAACAGCTATGTTTGTTCATGAAGTTACTTTTATCCTTCTTTGTAATAACTATTTTATGGGGAGGTACTTTGAGACTCTGTAAATACCCTCTCCTTATCAGAGTTTCAATTTATTCATTTATTAGTATAGATTGAGGCTTTCCTATTTTATTCAGTGTGTTATATTTTGATATTATTTATTTTATTGCTCAGGTTGTCCCAAATTTGGTGAGTAGGTTACCTTTCAAGCCAGATCCTATTTTTCAAAATGTCTTCATCCTTTGATTACTAGGCACTCTTGTACTTTTCCTCACTCAGCCTAAAATTTATCGTTTCAGTGAGGAGCTCTGGTTCCTTTTAGTGAAGGGTGTATTTAGAAGTCAAGATGTGGGTGCTAAGTGTACTTATTGCTGTTGGGAATGTCACTGCCCCTAGACCCTCTTGGTAGATAGGGCCAAGGATTGGGGGTGAGTGTGTGTGCATGTGTGTGCCCACACGCTGGTGCATTTGCATACATGTGTATATACATATATTTGCATCCAATTTCAATCTAACACTACAGAGTTTATTCTTATTTTTTTTCCTTTCCATGCTTGTGGTTCCTTTTCGTAGTGAGAACTTGGGCTCTCCCTGTCATATATATATATATATATATATATATATATATATATATATATATATATAAATTT